AATCTGGTTTTGAAACCACAGGCATGCAACATGAACTTCAAAACAGAATATAGCAGTTTGCAGGAGCCCAATCCTGCAAACCACAGGTAGTTTTAGCTATATGTATAGTTCCACATTTTTGTATTAGAGGGTGAATATCAGTTATTTAATATGTTGACTCTGAAAGTATATCTTATTAAATAATTGTTATCTAAGTTCTAAATGTGTTATGATTGAACCTTGTCTGAAACTGAACAGTTTAAAGTAATCTACTGACTTTTGTCTATTTGATTATATTTTGATTGAGCTCTAAACAGACAACTGGAATATGAGAAATGGGATCCAGCCAGAAGAAAGTGATTGAACAGTGAAGGTATGCTAGTTTCACATTTTCTGTGTTTGATCTTTTGTTGATTTTTTCCTTCTCTCATATAATCTCTTTCTTTCCTCCCTCTTCTGCTCTGTTGTGTTTGCGTTTAGTAGGTTGAGGGCCTATAAACATCTTATCAGAAAAATGTTGGAAGGAGGGTAAGGGGCATATCAGAGTCAAGAAGAGTGCTGTGTATAGAGGAGCCTGTGTAAGGCAGGCAGGGGAGAACAGGGGGCACAAAAGAGATGCTGGAGGGTTTTGGTCTTTTTCCTTCCTTTTTAAAATCTGAAATCTATAAGAATGTGTTATTTGAATTGGATATGTAGCCTCTGGTTTGAATGTAAAACCCATGGTATCTTCCAGGATTGTACTATACATGACTTGTCCATATTTGGAATTATTCCAGATTTGCTGCTGCACTTGAAATTCACTCCCTGCCTTAATCCAAAGTAACGTTCAAGTGTAGACAAGCCTAAGAGTTCAACACTAACATTTACTTACCTTTAGCAAAAGTTTTAGGTGTTCAAGGAATGCAGAATCATTTAGTAAGGAATGTAGAATTTTACTTCATTAGTTTGTATTAATGACTTATTTCCTAAGAAGCTTTTAATGGCTTAATTACATTAACAGACCCTTCATATTAAAGGTTGTTGGGTAGAGTCATATGACTAAAACAATGGAGTTAATGTAATGCAGCATAACAACCCATACCTAGTCAGCAACCTATAGTTAATGCTTCTAGACTTTTCTTTTCCTTGCTTTCAGCAGCACAATAAATCAGCTTAAAACACAGAGCTAATTTTAAATAACATTTTACCTCAGAGAGAGACAGGATGGATGTACTGGGCAATGACTGTACTCATCTGAACACACTCCCAGTTCTGGGTTCAATCCCAGCTCTAAACCTATCTTATGTACAAGATATCCCTTCAGGATGCCTGTTCATCCATTTGATTTTTGAAATTTAGGGAATTAGCACACTTACTCTTTTCTGGACTTTCAAAGCTACCAGAGGTTCTTTAGTGGTTCTTAGTGGCTCAAGAACATGGCTGCTGGCCTGTTTTCTGGATCCACTGTTACAGAACCTGTATTGGCTTAAAGTGGAACATAACCATTAATTCAAAAGCAAACAGGAACAGTTCTTAGGACAGTGTGGTCCTTCCTAGCTTTCTTTTTCTTTTCTAATGCTTTATTGGTTAGGACCATCTTTTAGCCTTGAAAAGATTCTTGACACTGTATGAAGTAAGAGAGTTTTGTGAGAATTAGTCCTTACATATATCCGAAAATAATTTCTGGGATCTTAAAATACTTTATGACAAGAAAACATTTTCATACCAAGATGCTTGTTTATAGAAGTCTCTGTTTTCAATTAGAATCTCCAAGTCAACTTGGGAATAAACATTTTGTAGAGCTATTGTACCCTTCATTTCCTTTGGTGGGTGAAGCACATTTAAATAGTGCTATAAATAGATAAGTGATCATCAGATGCCTACATCCTGGAGCAACTATTTAAAGTGCACTTGTTCTTGTGGCAGTGGGCCCATGATGAGAATCTGTTAATTAGCAGGCAGTATATTCACTGCCCCATCAATGACAGCACACAGTCCCCAGCTCCACATTTAGTCCCAAGGCCCCAGTCTAACGTCACTCCAGAAGGCCGAGAAGATTCTGTGTTTCTTAAAACTGTGGAAATTACACAGGCATTGGTTTAGTGTTAAAGTTTTAAGAACAAGTGAATCCTAATTCTCGTTTCTAACCCAAACTGTTCTGTGATTCTATGAATATAGAATGGTATCCAAATGAATAACCCATTCCTGGGAAGGATTAGTTAGTTCAGCTTGGATACCATTTTAATAGATTGATGCTGCTCCTGGTGTCAGTGACCTGAACTCAGCTGGCCCCTCAGTGCAGGTTAGGGCTTTATGACCATAACATGCAGTTAGTAACTGAAACTAGTCTAGAACTTTTTGGGAGTAGTATCCCTACTGTATTTTCTGGGAAAGGAGGAAAAAAATTAAAACTGTGATGTTAATAGTTTTAACAGTGCATATTTTTTAAGATTTTACATTTACTTCTGCTTAATTCTATGGCACCACACCAGGAAAACCTCTAAACCTCCTGCAAAAGTGAACTGTCACAGCTTTCATACATCTTAGTGAGGATAATACATTACATTGCTGGATTGTGCTGATGACTGCTAAGTGAAATAATCCTGCCCAGGACTGAAGTTAATCACTAGATCAGCAAATACTTAAAAAGTAAGTAAAAATGTAAATTATGTATATAACTGTGTTCCTCAGCTGCAAAGATTGAACACTATAGTTAAGATTGCAGGAATTTTCCATGGTTTTAAGAGGAATTATGTGATTTCTGTTTATTCTGCCACAAAATGTAAAAATAAAAAAAAATGCCAAAGCCAACTGTCTATCATTATGTTTCTGGGTGACCCAACCCACGTGCCTAATTGTACTTTAATGTGGCAATTTGTCGTGGCTTCAGTCTTTGAACATCATGTTCAAAGACAACATCAACCGAGTTATATATTAGTTTATAACTAAAAATCAGTGTTCTTTTTGTCTTAGTCTTGAACTTTTTCAAACACCAGGACAAGTGGTGTAAATCCTAGACTTTGCTGAAGGATGCTGACTACCTAACAGAATTGGCTTCATGGACAAGAACCAGTTCTTACCAACATCACTGAAAATGGTGAAAATAATTTGACTAAGGTTAGACCTATATACAAACAATTTGATTTTGCAAAGGCTTGTGCATACACATTTGATGTCACTTTAACAGCCCTCATGGCTACTTGTTTGAGTGAACCTAATCTGTTTAATCTTTGCAGGATTGGGACCTAAATGAGTAATTAAAATAAAAATAATGTTTGCTTAAGTTTCAATCCCATTTTTAATCAGCAGTCTGGAATTTTAGCTAAAAGAAATATAGTAGACACACAATATGCCTTGAAGTACATATATTGCTGTAGAATATTAGTTTTCTTCTCTGTTGAAGGGACTTCCCCCACCTCCACATCCCTCTTGCAAAAATTTCGCATCCCACATATGAGAGTGATAAGAGAGGAGGTATGTCATGCTCCAACATGCACAACTTTTCAAATGCTAAAAAAAAAAAAATAAAAAAAAAATCTGTAAGTGAGCTTAGGCTGCCAACAAGCAGTCTGAACTCGTATTTTATTTGTTTCTGCAGGTTTTTCTCCAGATTTTGTAAGCCTGTTTGCTAAAAATTTAATGTACAGTAAATGCTTGTTATTTGATTTATTTTGATTTCCTTCTGGAGCTGTCACATACAGATAATGTACTAGTTTTGAGGACTAGTCTTTGGGGGACCCAGGCATTGACTGATGTGTGGTACATGCAGCAGAACTGTGAGTAAGGCTTGTCCAAACACAAAGAGGTCAAATGTAAATGGCAGGGGATTATTCTAGGTTGCAAACTGACATTTCAAGAACGGCTAAATTGCGCCTGAACTCTGGTAACACGCTTCTTGGGTAGATGTAAGAACTTGGCATTTGTGACTCAGGGCAAAGGGCCTGAAGTCAAAGAGCATTATGAAAAAATCAACTCACCCCTAATTCCCTCAGTAAGAAAGCCAATTAAACTAGTAAAATTTTGCTGAAACATCCTGAAACTCCTCTCTACTTCTCTATATCTCCACATTGTCTCCATGCCTACAGAAGAACATTTGCTTACTTAGATAACAATAGGAGTAGGGCTCAATTTTGTGATGGGAGTTTTGCTATAATAATGTTTGCCAACTTCTAGTACTGCTCTTGTTACCGTGACCTTTAGAGGACATTTAGGTTTGGAGAGCAGCACACACCTGATGTTGCAGGACTATGTCAGAAACTAACTCTGTTCATCCTGCTGAAGGATGAAGTTGTGGGTGGAAAGGCCTCATGTGTGGTGTAGCTCCCTTAATGACAGTTTGCTCCACAACTCGATAGTCTTGAAGTTGGGGGATGTGACAACCTTAAGCGTGCCTTCCACACTGAACAGCACTTTCTGTTATTTTCCAGCATAACGAACCTCGAGTGAACTGGAATAGTTTGCTCTGCTGTAAACGATGTCAGCTCTGCGGTGTTGGCCAAAACTCCTTCTGGTGTGGGCTTTTGCCTGCCCTTGGCTGGGGTGGCAGCACTGAGGGGGGACCAGGGCCTCGCTCTACGCCAGCCGCGGTGGGAGCTGGGCCCGCTCCGGGGGCTGCGGGGACGTACCTCGGTGCACACTCAGGGCAGGGCACCGTCACACCGCCGCTCACACCGCGCCCGATACCGAGCGCAGCCCAGGCTCCGTTACGGACGCGGCCTCACGCGGTTTCTAGGCCGGTAACTTAAAAGCCGTTGCCGGCCTCGGTTGCCGTGAGCGGGACTGTGCCCCCAGCCCCGGCTGCGCGGGCCTTTTCGAGCCGCTGGCCGCCAGCACAACCGGGCCGTGCGCCACCCCAGGACCCCCTCACGGCTCCCGGCGGGGCGGGCGGGGCTCAGGTGTGGGAGGGGACGGGGCGGGCGCGCGCTGCGGCACGCGTTCGCGAGGGGCGGCGGCGGCGGGCGCGGCCGTCACGGCGCCGTCTCCGCCCCGCGCCCAATGGCGGCACCGCCCGCCGCGCCCCGCCCTCCCCGCGGGCCGCGGGGTTACTGCCGGGCCGGAGGCCGGGCGGCTGCACACGCGCCTCCTCCGCCTCCGCCTCGTCGCCGCCTCCTCCGCGCTCCGGGCAGCGGTGGCCGGCGCTGGGCGGCCTTGGTGAGGGCTGCGCTCCCGTCCCGGCCGGCGGTGCCCATGGCGTAGCTGTGCTGCTGCGCGCCTGCCCCGCGCGACGCGGCGTGGACAGACCTGCCGCCGGGTAGGTGCGACGGCCGCGACCCCCGCCCCGACAGCGGCGTTTCGGGCCGGGCGCCCCTCAGGGATGCGCCGTCCGCTGGGGCGGGCGCGGGGTGTGCGCCCCTCGAGGTGTCACCGTGACCGGGCTGCCCGGGAGGGTCCCGGGGCCTCCGCCGGACACGGGAGCTGCCGGGGGCGGTCAGCGTCCGCACGCGTGCCGTAGGGAGCAGCTCGCCCCTCGGGACCGTGGGAGCTGCGGGCTCCCCGTGGGAGCTGAGGGGCGAGTGAGAGGTGGGCGCCTGGCGAGGGGAGCTACAGGTGTCCCAGCGGCAGTCCCTGTGTCCGCTGGCTGCTGCGTGCTGGGCGAGTTACGGGCAGCGAGCGAAATGCTTTGCAAGGCTCGCGCTGCTGGGCGCGCGTGTCTTCCTACCTATCGTGAGGCCAGGTGAGAGCAGTGTACGAGCAGAGTGTGAGTTTAGTGTAAGTGAGAATAATATAAGGGCCAGTATAATGTCCCTTCAGTGCTATTTCACTGAGGGGCTGTTGCCATGTGGGAGTTGCTGCTGCATATTTTGCAGGGGATGCACTAGAGTCAAGTCACTGCAAGCTTCTGAGTACTACTCTCCTAGTAATAACAAGAATGTGGCTTCAATGTCAGATGTACATTAAGTAACTTTTTAAACACGAGCTTTCCCCAGTTTCAAGTGCACTTGTAGTTCTAAAGTCATTGGTATCAAACAGCACAGGATGTGATACTTCTCCCTTACAAAAAAAAAGGACTTCTTCAGATGTAGTGTGAATGTGTGTTTATGCTTTTTCAACTTGCTGTGGATGTAACCAGATTTAAATCTACTTATCTCAGTTCTATTAGGCTGTAGCGTTAAAATTGATTTGCTGTCATTTATAATTTTCTTCTCAAATGCTTAATCATTAGCACAGTTCATTTTTTTACGGAATATTTTTGATAGTATTTGTAAGTTGTTAAAGAGACACTTGGACATACAAGTTCTAACAAACTTTTCATCATCAAAAGTCTTTTGGTTGGGTCTGTATTTATACTGATCTAAGTTGATGTACTTTGTTTGGTGAGGTCAAACGGGCTGATATTAGATCTCCAATGGGGAGAAAACCCAAACTGAGAGAGCCGTCTGCTCACTAATTGTGGTGTCAATTAGGTTTGTATCATGGTGACCCAGAGGACTGATACTACTGTAGTCTCATATGTGGAAGACTTTACATGTGTAAATGAAATGTCTTCCCAAGTCAAAAATCTGTTTATTGCTACTTATGAAGATTACTTTATTTCCCTTACAGTCCATGCTTTTTTCCATGAATGCCTGTCACAAGCATGAGTTGGTAGCTGGGTTTTAATTAGCCCTGCACAGGTGTCCTGTCAAAGTATTCCCAACAAGAGTGTTAGTAAAATGTTACTGGAAGATGCTTATTCATTTGAAGAGCTCCAGTTTAACCCATCAAAGCTAACAGAGCTTGAGTTGCAGCTGAGGAGGAGCTGCTCCTCGAATGCAGACCTGGGCCACTGCTGCAGCTGGTGCTGGGCTGGGGGAGGAAGGGAGGGGAGGGCAGGTCATTGGCTTCCTTCAGTGAAGAGTCCTTTACTCTGAAACTTGCTTCCCCCAATTGTTTGCTGCAGTTCAGCCTTTTCAAGTTTAAAGTGACACTTCAGATTTTTCTCTCTTGACATGCTTTCTGTCCCTGGGGAGATCTTGTTTCGTTGTTGATTTTGATGCATGTTTTGTGTGTCCAGAGCCTCATCCAGTCAAAGCGTGTAAGTGATATCCACCAAGGATGTGAGTTCTTTTAAAAAGTAACTTTCAGTTGTTGTTCCTGGCATGCAAAACATATTTTCATACCCTAGCATCTTGATGCCTGCCACAGGAACAGTGTTTGGAAGTCAATTGCTAAACCAGCAGGGGGAACACAAAACTTGCTGTCTATAAAGTCTCTCCTCCTACAACAGTTGTAATTTATTAAAACTTTGGGCCTATACTTTTGACAGTATTTCTTTAGAAGGTGAATATTAATTTACTTGGAACACCCACATACATTGAAATAAACACATTATTTTAAAATACTTGTTTATAAATTTCCTTTAGCTGGCATATCTCCCATTCTTCTGAATGCAATTTTTGTCATATTAGCCATGACTGACTTGTGAAAACACTACAGATTTATGTGAGTGAAATTTCTCTTTGAAGATGTTTGAAGTGAATTAAACCAAATAAATGATATTTTGAGTAATTCTGCAAAGTTTCAGATAATGAACTAGATGAAATATTTTCACAGTGGAGCTCTTACTAGATCAGATATGATTGTATATAGATGTCTTGAGAGCTCAAGTTGACTTGCAAAGCAGTTGTATTCTCACGAGAATCTATTTCTAGTATTTAGGATTTCCATAAGAGAAAATATTTTTAGATATTCTCTTAGGTTTTAAGAAGTCATTACTATCTTATTACTGTAGAGGTCAACTGATGGTCCCAGCACAGAGCAATAATGGTTTTCCTTTTTGATTCTTATTGGCATAATGATTAAATCTTTTGTACCAGGAATACTGAATGTAAAGGCTGTTGTCAAAGAAGGTTATGTGGATGCTTGCACCAATCCATATTGTTTTCTGGTCTGTGAAGTCTGGTGCAGCCAAATGGCAAATACTGAAGGTCTGGATGCACAAACAGATGGCTGAATGGGAATTTGCAGGGTGTCTGCTATACCCCATTAAGAGCTGGGGAACGGGCTCTTACCTGCAGTAAATGCAAGAATCTTGCTGCTTCTACTTAGGGTTAAGCCACCTTTCACTGAGGGTGGGATAAAAACGTGTCAAGGAGCATTTGCTACAGAGTAGCCAATTTGCTGCTTGTGGGTGATAACAATTGTATATTCCACCAGCATTAGGTGTTAGAGCAAGTACAGACACAATAGAGTTCAATTGAAATTAACAGTCCCAGGTCAGGTTTAAAGCAAGCTGTGTAAGCTCTGGTTCTGGAATGGCACTAACTGCACAGTGAGCTGTAAAATATATATAAATGTATACAAAGTATAAGCATATTTCAATGGCCATGCATTGTTCTCTAGCAGCATAACATGATCTTACCTGCTACTAAAGGTACAAAAAGGTGTATGTTAAATTCCATTGGCAATCTTTATCTTCTGTTGTTTTCATGGAATCCCAAAACTTTCTCTCCAGATGTTTCTCTGAGATGCTGAAGTGTTTACTTTGTAAAGCCAAACTGAAATTTCTGCTTTAATATGATTTGAAAGTAGTGGTAAATCTTTGCCTAATTTGTTCCTACAATTCTTTTCTTTGATACCTCCAACAATATTGTGTTAAAATTTAAGACATGAATTATCAAGTCTGGGCCATTTATGTGAATCTCTGAAAATACTATCCGGGATATAGATTGCAAATATCTTTGCCAGCACATTGCTTTTGATCTAGTTCCACAAAATACTTATGTATTATAAATAGTCATTACTTCTATAGAAGTAATATTTGTGGTGTTTAACAGTGGTATGCTAGTTTCTAGTCACTTCATGAATACAAGCATGTTATACCATAAAAATGTACTAGCAAAAAGTAGTGCAGTTGGAATTGCTTTATCCATCATTTTGGATTCACATTTTTATGTGCTGGCATTCATCCAATAGAGCAGCATTTCTTGTGCTATTACAACAATAATTAACTCTGTGATAACCAAAATGAAAGAGATTTACTAGATTCCAGATATCTCTGGAAATCATTGAAAGAGGGACTTTAAAGCTGCCACTTAATTTATATTACATATTTTTGAATTTCAAGTATCACAAAATAGATGTTTTTAAAGAAGAACTTACTTTATGACCTTGATTATCTAAGGAATTATATTTGTTGCGTTCAGCAGAGAACATTTCATATATTGCATTTTAAGTGTAATAAGTGTTTATTTGTACTGCTTACAAATAATTATGTTTGGAAAATATGCTAGTTTCTGATGTTTCTATAATGAAATTAATGGTATTTTTGAGGAAAAGTTGATAATATTCCATCCTGTGACTAATACTTCAAAATGATCAACACCTGCTTATTAACAAATTTAATTGCATTATATTTGCATTATATATTATTATCTGTAATAATCTAATTTCAGTACACTAGTTGGCCAAATTCAGATTTTTTTTCTTTTCATCTTTCCTGTTGTAAGATGTTATAAAATTTTGAGAGTCAGTTGGAAAGGGCCTCTCTTTTAGATAATTCCTATTGTGGCCTTGCAAGAGACCTGCTTAGATTGAAGGGGAGCACTTTGTCTAGAGGTCTTGGTCTGAAACAAGTCAATTATAGAGCTACTGCATAGAGGTTGTTTTTCTGCACAGAAGGCAATAGGGGCTGTGATACATAAGGTGTTGTTAGTGATTCTAAAGAATAATGGCAATTCACTTATTCTCTGATTCTCCTTTGTAAGCATAGGCGTTTTCTGTTGGGAATTGGTGATCTATATTGTGTGAGTCAGGGACAATAAAAAAACCCCAAAGTATCCAGTGAGCTTACTGTGTAGTATAAATTTGCTGAATTCATGTATTTCTTTGCCAAGAAGCTGGAGGTGGATTGAAGACTGATATGTCCTCTTGTGCCTGACATTTGGCAAGTAAGTTGTTAGAATGTAGCTGTATTTGACACTGTGTGATTAAGAACTATGGAAGTATTTTATCACACGTGTGATGTGTTGTTTCTTACAATGATTTGAGTGAAACAAAATTGTTCTGTTTTCCAAAGCAGCTGTTGCAGTATTTGAAGAGAGTCTTTTCTTGTAATAAAGCTATTGCATTAATGAACCAAGTCAGCTTGTGTTCTGTGGTAGATTACTTCCTCCCTCCAGCAGTTAAAATCACCTGTGTTTCTAAATACATGTAGATCTGGTGATTTGGTTCACTCCAGTGATGATTATGTAGATGATAATTTCCTTCTGACAGAAAGATGCACAAATTATTTATATGACTACAGGAATTTGTTGTAGTCTTCCTCTCCCC